TTTTTTTTTTTTTTTTTGGTTTTTGAGACAGGGTCCTACTAGGTAGTTGAGACTGACCTGGAACTCACTGTGTAGCCCACGCTGCTCTCGAACTCACAGTGATCCTCCTGCCTCAGCCTCCCGAGTGCTGGGATTACAGGCATGTGCCACCACGCCTGGCTTTCTGCCAATCTTTAAATTGGGTTATTTTCTTATTAATGGATTTTTAAAGTTCATATTTGGTGGTACAAGACCTTTATTAGATGTGTGTTTTGCATATATTTTCTCTCATTCTCTGGCTTAACAGTGTCTTCAATAGTTTTTACCTTTTATGAAATCAGGTGTATTGTTATTTCATGCTTTTGCTGTCATATTTAGGGCATTTTTGCCTAATCCAATGTCACAGATATTGTCTTCTGTGTTTTCTTTTAGAAGTTTAGGCTTTAATTTGGGTCTGTGATTTCATTTAAGTTTTGTGTGTAGTGCAAGGTATGGGTCAGTGTTCATTTATTTTGTATGTGGACAAACAGGTGTTCTAATACCATTTGTTAAAGACTATCCTTCATTGAATCACCTTTATACCTTTCTTGTAAACTGGTTGTATACTTGGTTTTATTTCCAGGTTTTCTGTTTTCCTTTGATCTGTGTCTATGCTTATGCCAGCACTAGTTAGTGTTAAAATCAGTTAATATGAGTTCTCCAGCTTCATTTGTCTTTTAAAAGCTTGTTTTGGGTTTCCTATGTTCTTTGCTTTTCCACAATGTTTTAGAATCAACCTACTTGTTTGAGCAAAGGCAGTTGGAGTTTTGATTGGGATTGCATTGAGCCTAAAGATTAAATGGTCATTTAAATCTTGGAGTCCATGAATATAGTATATCTCCCCCTTTAGGTGTTTTAAGATTTTTTTTTTTTTTTTTTTTTGAGACAGGGTCTCACTATGTAGTTGAGACTGATCTGGAACTCACTGTGTAGCCTAGGCTGGTCTCGAACTCACAGCGATCCTCCTGCCTCAGCCTCCCGAGTGCACTAGCACACCTGGTTTAAGATTTATTTCCTAAATGTTTTATAGCATATAGATCTTAAACTTTTAAAAACTTTATATGTATTTAATGTTATTGGTATTAATAAGTTACCTGAATAGTTTGTATCTGTACAGTAAATTGAATTTATAGTTAAGATGTCATCCAGCAATTGAACATTTCAGGCTCAGGCACGTTAGCTGGTGGCAAACATTTAAGAAAGAAATAATACCAATTCTACACTCTTCCATTAGTATCAGGATGTGACACCCTCCCCCCCAAAAAGAACCACACAAACAACCTATATGGATTGAAAAAGAAAGAAATCACTTTTAGTCAAGGACTGTGTACTTATCATTCCCAAGAGACTACCAAAAAAAAAAAAAAAAA